CTCCAACTCATGATCCCAGCCATTGATTACCCTGATATCGTCAACTGTTTGATGATTACAGACCAAATGAACAGCCCCATCCTTCACAGCAAACGAGCCTCTGCTTTCTTCCACCTCTGTTTCCACCATTGCTGCAGACACAAAAGCTTGCCCTGGGATTGTTGACCAGATGGATCTGGTGGGTTGAGAGAGATGGTAGATTGAGAGAGACCCACCATTTTCGAACCTCCATAGAAGCTGGAAATCCTGTCCGATTGAGAGCACTTTGATCGCAGGAAGTGCTTGAAAGTTTGCAGAGAGATCTCCCTCAACTGAAGGAAGTGAAGTTGGAGCTGAAGGGAAAGGGTTGTTGAAGTGAATGTGATGTTTTTTGGTGATTTTAAGGTTTGTCATGCTTTCTGTTAGAACCAAGAGAAGAAGGCCATGGAAGTTTTTAGAAAGTGGAAGCTATTTGAGACCCCCAACGTACAAGGAAACAAGGAAGAAGAAAAGTCGTTGATGGGCTTCCATTTTTGGACTACTTTTTATTGCTTGCATCTTGAGGACATGTAAGAATATTCACGGTAGACAGGAGGAAGTTTTACAAGAATATGGAGCGAGAATTCAAACTTTCGATTGATTCAGAAAGTGCCAATATGAAATGAGGTCAGGGACTCAAATTCCTACCCCACGTTTGTTGTATTGAAAAGAAAGTCTATCGAAAAAGTTTATAACGTCTACGTTTTAATTTATGTTCATGTTGAAAAATGTGTATATATATATATATGAACAATAAATTCTTTCTTCTTCAGCTTTTTATAGGTATTTATTTTTGGAAAAAAGAAAATCTCTTTTCTCACTCCTTTACGACTCCCTCTTTCATTTTAAAGAAAATTTTAGTGGTGGAGCGTAAGAAATTTGTTCTACTCTATCAACAAAAAAAGTATTATTTTATGTATATATTAACTGTTTATGGAGAGGAATTTCGAACGTACAACTTTGCTTGACTCCCTCTATTCTGTTGGAGGGGATAAAATTGATTTATATTTCACTGAATTTAACTTATTATTTTATTTGATAGATTTCTTGTCACTTTAATTAATAGTCAAACGTTGATGAAGTAGACATTAATGGCTAAAGACCCATTTAATAATGATTCTATTTTTAGTTTTGTTTTTATAAAATGAATTCATTTGTTATTTCAAGGTTTTTAAAATTTAAAACATATAAAACAAGAGAATATATCATTAAAGTCTGATATTTAGAAATGGAAAATTAAAATTGATTTTGTTATGAAATTGAGGCTGGTTTTGCTGAATTTGAATGAATTGTCAAATAGAAGCTTCAAAAAAATTCAAACAAACAAAGAAGTGGTCAATTCCTTTGAGCTTCCATTGAATTGCTTAGTTTGCCAAGAAATAAAAAAATATATATAAAAAAAAAAAATCAAATTTGGCAACAAATTGTTGAGTTCTCATGAAAAAGGGAAGAAATTTTATTTAAACCCAACAATATTATAAAAAAAAATAAAAAGACCAAAAGTATTTTCTCAGGTAAGCTAACAATCAATTTTAAAAAAAAAATTTGTCATTTTTTCTGTAAATTCTTATATATTGTTAGTTGTATTTTTATCTCTTTCTATTTGAGAAATATATTATATATTATCATTAGAAGCTTATTAAATCAAACAACGGTACTCATTTGTCTCTTAATTTTTATTTTCATTTCATTTTTTCCGATTATAATTTTAACATGACACTCTACTCACCATTTTCTTGAAACGTAACCATAAATTTATATTAAAGGAATTCCATTATGCATAAACTTTGTATTAAAATGTTTCGAACAAAGACATTGATCACTTTTTAAAAGTACGGAAACATTGATCACTTTTTAAAAGTACGGAGACCAAAATAACCATTTTAAAAGTACAATGATTAAATTGAACCAAAGTTGAAATTACATGTACTAAAAAATAAACCAAAGTAAACAATACTAAACCAAAATAATATTTAACCCTAAAGTTTCTCTCAAAATTCTATTCATACAATCTCTTTGTGATATTGGGAAAAAAAGAACTTTATATATTTTCAATTTGCATATATAAAACTCCATTGATTGAGTAGTAAAAATTTAAATAATAAAATGAAAAATCATTCCTCCATAGAATGAATTAGTTGCTAATTCTTGCACGTCTTGGAAAATTTTTAGTGGACCTTATTAGCTCTCATCCTTCTCACCTATAATTTTCAAGATTTTCAATTATTGTTTGCTTCATCTTATTTCTCTTCGTCTATTTGCTTAATTAATACATATAAATTACAATATATTTATTTGATGTATGTAAAAGATATGAAATTACATTTCGACATTTAGAGCCTATTTGGCGACGTTCTCGTTTCTTGTTTATGTTTGAATAGAATTGCATGACCCAAATTCAGAAATGATAAAACTATGTTTTTATTTAGGTTTTGGAACAAAATAGAAACAAAAGTCACAAAATATAATAATCACTTGAAATGAATATTTTTTTGTCAATAAAAGTCATTAACAATAAGTAGACATCTACCAAAAAGTTTTTAGAAAAATATACATCTACTAAAATGTTGTTACTTTTAATAAACTTGTTTCAAAATAGTCTTAAGTTTAATATAGTTTCAAAAATATTGATATTGACTGATCCCAAATTTAGGGTAAGAGAAAATTTACCCTAAACAGAAAATTATCTTGAAATCAACCTTTCTATAACAAAAACTCCCTTACATGTGTCAATTTTTATGTATAAAGAAATGAAATTTTACAAATTTAAAGGAAAAAAAAAACCTACCCATAAGGGATATGTTAAATGTCAACAAAAATAACGAAATCGAGTAGTAATGATAAAATAGTTAAATTAATAAATAAATATATATCTATTTTTATCTGGATTAAAATATTTGTTATTATTATTACGTTCACTGATATTTTTATGGTATAATTGTTAACTTCTTATGTCGATGTTGAACACATGGACATATAGAAAAGTCGATGAACATGGCAACATGCTGACGGGAATTTAATGCATGTCCATGCATATGGTTAAGAAATTGGGTTCGATTCATTCCAATGAATCAAAACCATTTAGTGTCCAAATTCATTCACAAGTGAAGAGCTTTTTTTTTTTCCTTTTTTTTTGGGTGTGGTTTTGGTTGTCTTTTGAATGTTCAACTCCATCCACATACATCAATGCATCTAACCTTTATCTCTACCAACATTCAAACAAGACAGGTCTTTTTTTTTTCTTTTTTTTGGTTTCGATTAAATCGTTTTGCCTCCAACACTTCAAAAATCACAAGTAGTTGGATCATGACTAACCACAATTAACGACTTTGAAAATGTTTCGATCGGATAGCCAAATTTGCGTCGCCATAGACTCACAACCAACAACGTCGACTTATTCCAACCAAATTTGTCTCTATAATATATCTAGTGGGACCATTGCACAATTTTGGTCATTAACAATGGTCAAATAAGCATGTAGCATGTAATCTTCTCGATTTATTCCAAACATGTTGAGGACATTTCAATTCATAAATAATACTGTTAGTGTAAAACCCACGAGAGAATGTTTCATAAAGTGTACTAAAAAATCCATGTTTTTCCAACATGAAAGGGAGAAATTCTAGTGTTTAATAAAGATTTACAATTGAACATTAATGCCAATTAAATCATCATCAACGACTTCAAAATTCTTAACTTTACCTATACATGCATTAATACTTACATAATTTAGGGATCACTGCAGATTTGTCATGATTAAGATAAAATATTACAAAAATTAAATACATGATTTTTTATATTTAAGTTAATTGACCATCTAAGTATAATTGCATAACTCTGTATTAATAACTCAAGTTGCAGGTTCGAATTTCATCCCTCTTTTTTTTAGTGTACTTTCAACCTTTGGATCATTTTAGTCCCCATACTTTAAACTTTGGTTCAGTTTACTCTCTGTATTTTGAAAATGTTCATTTTAGCCCCTATATTTTTAAAAAGTGATCATTTTGATCTCTCTTTATAAAAATTTAACACATAGTTTACGCATAACGACAACTCTTTAATATAAAGTAATGTTAACATTTGAATAAATATATTAATTTTAGTGCCGTGTTGAAATTGTGATATAAAAAATGAGATTAAGAATAAAATTAAGGGACTAAAATGGTCACTTTTTAAAAGTAGAGGGGCCAAAATGTACATTTTGAAAGTACGGAGACTAAAATGAACCAAAGTTTAAAGTACAGGAACCAAAACGTAAACCAAGGCTGAAAGTAAAGAAACCAAACTAGTATTTTAACCAAATAAATACTTATTGATTCTATTGTTAAAGTCAATTAGTGATCAATAATTTTATATATATAAAAAAAAACTATATTGCTACTACTTTATAAAATATTATATTTGTAATTACTTTTATAAATATTCATACTTTCAAAGTACAAGCCTAAGTACTTTTAAATTAACGAACTGGGAGTAGAGGCGAGGAAACTGTTTTCATTAATTGTATTGTTTTAATAATTATAATTAATTTTCTTTCCCTTTCCTTTGTTTTTCTTAAAATTTAATGTGTTGGGCATGAATTTAGACTTGGACTAGAAAAAGAAACAATTGGGCTTTACCAACTTTATATATAATAGTAAGAATTAATAAGAATAATTAATAATAAGAAAAATATTTCTTAAAAAGTCTTGGGTTGGTGGGATATCCAACCCCATCCCCAGTCAGGGACTCAAGATAGAATCCCTAGTTCGACTCTCGTACCGATCAAACCGGGGATTCTCGATTCCGCAAGTTATTTTACCAACATAAATGAATATTTTAAAATATTTTAAAAGTATAAAAATCAAAATAAACAAAAGTTGAAATTGCATGTCATATACCATTTGCCTTGTACAAGAGACCGGTACATAGAGACTAAAATAGGATTTAAACAAAAATAATAATTTTACAAAAACAAAAAAGTTAGAACAGGACAAGAAAGATCAGATTAAATGAAACCTTAAACAATAATAAAATTTTGAACTTCAAAATGATTCTTAAACGTTAACCAATAAAATCTAAAACATATGGAAACTAATCCTTAGTCAAGCAAATCTGAAACTGCTGTCTTTCTAAATACACTAACCTGACTCAACTGCGTTGACAAAGCTCTATTAATATTTATGTTGTCTGCTTTCATTCGTTCGCTCATCCCATAAGCTGGAGCCTTGGCGTTTATATAAGCCTGCAACAGAGCCTGAAACTGGCGTGGCCTACTTACGTACCCTGCCTCTCTCATCAGGTGGAACATTTTCTCTGCGTTATGAATGTCTCCCCGTCCTGCATACTGATCTAAAATTGTCATGAAAGAACACTGCATTGGCTTCATTGAGTTCTGCTGCATTGCTTTTTGCAGCACGGAGTCGGCCTTTTCGACGTCTCCTGCTTCCACGTAAAGCTTCACAATTGCGTCCCAGGTAAGGGGGCCAATGTGACAACCGTTGTCTGCCATCCGCTTCACGAGATCCTTCCCCTTGGCTAGCATTTTATGGTCTGCGTAGACCTTTAGCATCACGTGGTATTGCCTCGTCGACAGCTTCTTCCACGTTTCTAGCATCTGATCGAATACCGTTTCGGCTTGTTCGATATTGTTTAGCTTTCCCCAAGCAACAATGGCAGACATGCATTCTTCGATTCGAGGATCCAACTCACAGACCTTCCAAACTCTCTGGACTTCATCTGCCATTTGCATTACTCCATAGAGAGGAAGTAGAAAGCGACAAACCCAACGCTTCTTGTTCAGGTCATTTCCCTCGATCTCCTTGAGAATTTCCACAGCTCTCTCTTTAAGTCCACTAGAAGCATAGTGTTTAACCATGATGGCTTGTGTGTTGATGTCTGGTTCAATGCCATCAGCCTTCATTGTCTCAATAACTTGGTCCATTCCTACCATGTCATGGGATTGACCTTTGGCATCAATTAGTATCTTATAAGTGAAGAGAGAAGGCTTGACGTTTTCATTCTCCATTACTAATAAAATGTCTGCAATTTTCTTCTTGTGGTGTCGCTTGTAAAGAAGAAGCAACTGGTTGCAAGAAAATGCAGTGATTGAAAATCCTAGATCCTTAATTTGATTGAACACTTCCTCTGCTTTATTGACGTTGTTGGCAACAACACAATTTGCCAACAGCGTTCGGTAGATTGTCTCACCTCTGCAAGATTTTGGGATTTTCTCAATGTAGCTTTCAGCTTTTGGTAAGCCACATACTTTTGCTATCAAGTCGATGCGAGAAGCATAATCTCTCTCGATAAAGTCGAGACGCTTATTTGCCTCCAGCCACTCTGATAACTGCAAAACCAAAGCATCAAGAGTGTATTCAAAATGCCATAAAGAAGTTCTTTAATTCAACCTTAAAAATAATTGTTATGCCTCAGCGTCACAATTGAAATAGATTCTTATCTGCTAGCTAAGGGTAACCAGTTACCCACCAACATTAGTTCCTTCTTCAGTATTATTATACAAACATATAATTTTTTTTTTTAAATATCCGTGAGTATCCGGACCAGCTTGCACGCACCTTGACAAATAGACAACCGCCTGATCCTACAACATTTGGTGCCGAGAGACACATAGGAACTCATTTTATGTTCCTAAATTTATATCCAGAGTAACAAAAGGAAATAACTACCATAGTTACAATCATTTATTAGAAAACCAATATATCCTTCCGGAAGACTGAAAATTTGTAAATTTAGGAAACTAAACCATATTCTAGGTTTGGGCAACAACCAAGGCAACAGAAAGAAGGAAGGACGAAAAATGAAAGTAAACTCTACAGACTGCCTCATGCAAACATGGTAAAAAAATTTCAGAATAAAATAACAATTGTTGGGTTGTAGCTATCACACAGTTTCAACTACAAAACTTGTTATACATATAATATGCAGCATAAGTCATACAACAAGCAACCACCACAATTGTCACCTGCCACATAATTGAATAACTATGAGGTAGCTGCAAAAAACTAAGTAACAAACAGTTCTATCCTGATTTGTCAACATTAACAGGCAGATGTTAACAATCATTTCACAGTCCACACATCGAAGGGTGTTGCACATGGTACCAGACACTCCTTCTGTGGAGAGGTCTTGGGAAGAGGTTTGGGACGTGGTTAGGTTCAATTTTTGTTTGGGCATTTGTTTCTAAGTTGTTTTGCAATTATCCGTTATGTCTTATTCTTTCAGACTGGAGTTCTCTTCTATATTAGTTAATTTTAAGGACTCCTATGGTAGGGCTAGTTTTTTTATATGCCCTTATTTTTCTTTCATGTTTCTTAATGAAAGTTCGGTTTTTCATTTTAAAAAAATGATAGCAAGGTACATGTACTGAAAGAAGAAGAAATGTGAACTTGAATCTTGTTCTTTTTGTGATGGGAGTAAACCGTGGAATGAGACAAGGAGCTCTATAAACATTAAAAACAGACAGACGTTTTCCTTCTAAAGCCTCAGAGGCGATGGAAAATAAATCAAACAAATTATAAATAAATAAATATTTATTATAATGTACAATCGTTGCATCTGATGGTATTCACAAGCTTAAGAATTGTATGCTAATTACTCAATTCAAATAGGATATACTAAATATGTTATTTTCTCTTTTTGTTGAAACCAAAGGAGGCTGAATTTTCATGTATGGCATAAGCCTAATGTATTCTACCTGAGTCTTAAACCAGAAGGCAACAGGGCAAGTTTCAAACAATTGGATATTTAAATAAAATGATGCCAAATCACCTGTAGTGCCCTTCCATAAAGTCGACGTTTACGAAGATTAAACATGGTTAACGATATCTCAGATCGGTTTAAGTCCTTCCCTTCTCTGACCCATTTATCAAGAACATTATGGATAGACAAGCCTGGACTGCTCATTATGGCCTGGAAAAGCTCCGAGTGAGCCCTTCTATTTAGTGGTCTTCTTTCATCCACATCAACTGCAGTCTCTGATAAATCCAGATCATTCTGAGAGGGCCCTGCAGAATCACGATCATCATCATCAGTGAGAGGATCAGAGATGAACAACTCATCATCCTCTAAATCAGCAGCCTGAATTGGCTTTATTTTGGGGGGTGATTCGAGTTCGGAAAACCCATCTTCCAACTCATCTTCCTCCCCGCTACTTCTTGCACCGGCTCGTGAAGAAAGACAGCGCCTATCTACACCATGATTTGAATGTCCGTGAGCTACATTGTGAAACCAATTTGAAATTCGGAAACTATCAGATAAGACATGGGAAGTAGCTATGCTGTGGTTTACATCAGCGCAAGTGGTCAATGCATCTAATTTAAGACAAGTATATGAAGCTCCAACTCCAAGTACTTGGTTCCTGAAAGCAATAGAAAGTTAACCACCAAATTAGGCCATCTCAAATATGAGATGTGAGCATGACAATAACCCTTTATTTCTTAGATATATTTACATACACTTTAAAACAAAATTATAAGAAGAATTACAAGAGAGGAAGACCGCAATCCAAAGGAGTCAAAGGAAACCTCTCCAATTGGACAAAAGAGAATAGAAACTAGTGATGGAAAAGCGAAAATAAATGAGCAATTACAGAATAAAATAAGCTAATCTAATGCACAGTTGGAATAACACATGTTAAAATTCGGGACAACAGTATAAATTCAGCGCATACGCAGCAAGAATTGGGAGCCTGGAACAAATTCACAGACATGGCCGGTGGAGGGTTACTCATTTTCCAGTTCCATTTCTCCAAATTTAAGCTCATATCATGACATTCTTACAAAACTCAAACTTAGATTGTTCGTCCCAAATCTTGGCAGTCCATTTTATAAATGGGTTCTCACTTTTTAGTAAGAAACAGAGATGGGTTGCCAAAGAGATGGAAAATGAGAGCGATCCTTATGAAGAAGACCATTATGTCGCCTGAAAGGACTTCTTCTACGGCAAGGAGAAATGGAGGAATACCTGACGGGCGTAGAAGCTCGACGAAGAGCCCACATGGTGACCGGAGAAATGGCCGGAAAACAAAGAAATTGGGAGCTCTACCGGCGGAAATGAGAGAAGATCGGAGCAGTGGTGATCAGATTGATGGGCAATGAAGGATTGTGCTCTTAAACCCTAAAACCCCTCAGAATCTACAATTGTTAGTGGAGGGGATATACAATGATATAAATTATATCAGCTTTTTATTCAAAAAAAAAAAGGATTTTATTTGGGCAAATTACATTTGTTTCCCAAAGGAATTACACTTCTTTTTTCCTCTCTCTGTATTAGTTTTTTTTTTTTTAACTTTTAAATGGTCTTATTAGTATTTGATACTTAGTCTTTATTTCATCGGTGGGTTCAAACTTCTAATCTCAAGAGGAGGAAGTTGCCTTTTAAATATGCTCGTGTTGACTTATATAAAATGTTCCTAAACCTTAAAGATAATTTTATTTCAATTATGTCTCAAGCATTTCAAAAATTTAATTTCTACCTTCAACCTTTAAAATTGTTTAAAAAATACTCTTCCATAAATTTTTCTACTAAAAATGAGAAAGCGATGCGGCGATGAGTGGTAAAAAAAGTACATAAGGTACATATGGTTCCAATTATGCTCTTGAACTTTAAGATAAGTTTCAATTATGCATATCTCTTTCAAAAGCTTCATTTTAAYCATTAATCTTTAAAAATGTTTTAAACCGCTAAAGTAATAGGTCAGTGGTAATTGACATGTATCTCCAACCATGAGGTTTTGAGTTCAATCCCTCATCTCCACATGTTTTATTAAAAAAAAAAAGGTTTTAAACCAATCATTCCACTCACTTGCTTGTTAAAATGAGGACAAAAATAAAATAGAAATTACATATCGACACAAATGACAATCTAATGATTTTAGTCAAATTCAAAAGAGCATGGGGTTTAGAGAGAAGGTTTTGCAAGAGGAATATATTCTTGAGATAAAAGTTGTGGAAGAGTAGGTTCGTGGAAAGCTTGGATCGAAAGCTAGGAGAACAAAAGTCCCCTGAGATGGTGGTGCTCGAGGCTTTGAGGTTCAACCTACCTTGAGGTCTCAAGGTCGAGTCCTGGACTAGTGACAGTATTGCTTAGACCAAGCAACAAGTTCTGATTATAAGAATCCGCTAACGTAAGCCACACGACATCGATTCTAATAAATAAATAAATAAATCTTGGAGAACAAAAGTAAAATGATTTATTGGCCGAAGAAGGTAATTTTTATCCTCAAAAGTAAGAAATTTATCGAGTTATTCATGGTCACTAGGTTTTGATTGTCTTGGATTTCTTTGTTAGCTCTAAATTTCGTCAATTGATCATGTTGTCCATGGTTTGCATATCCCCTCGAAAATATTGTTCCTCTTGAATCTTTTAATTGTGAGGGCAGGAACCATATTTTTTTCCTAACCGAAAACTCTTTTCCCTAAATGACAATCATGTTTTAACGTAACTAAAACCCTTAAATTTTCTTTACAACTTATACTCTTTTCATCCCCATTTTAACACAAAAAACGAAGGTAAGGATTGTTTTGAACAACTTCTAAAAGGAATCTAGAAATCAAAAAGCGAAATATTTATCCAAACAGAGATTTGTGAAAAATTGATTATGAAACAACCCAATTTGGTAAGATCTAAAATGTTTGGCACAATCATGCCCAATTCCGAATTTTCCCAAATCCTTTTCTTTAACTTTCTCACAATCAAGAACACAAATCGGACTACTTTGGCTTGGCCTATTGAAAACAAAAATAATGAAATGTTCTCAACAGTCAAAGACAGAGAGTTTGTTGATTGGACACATGGCGGTTTGGTGAGGAATAACCACAAACACCTTTTGCTTCTCAAAAATTTCTTCAATTCAAAGTTTTGTATCATCAATCATTAATGCCATTCATGATTTTTCTTTTAATTCTCAGGCCACTTCTCACTGCTGCTACTACTAATCTTCGATCCAAGTTCTTGTCCTTCTGCGGATTCAATCCATTTTGGTTCTTGTTCGAGTGAATCGAATTCGAATCACTGTTTGCGTTGCGCAGTTAACCCTTTTTTCTCTTCCGCTCTGCAAATTCAATGGCATTTCCCAGAGCCCAGAAGGCAAAACCCAAGCCCAGATCCCCACTCTTCTTCTTCTTCGTCGCCCTCGCCGCCATTGCCTTTCTGTTCCTCTTTTCCTCTCTGATTTCTACCAATGGGGCTTCTTCTTCTACTTTTTCATCCTCGAATTCTATTCAGAAAATCTTCAGATTCAATAATGTGAACGAGAAGCCGAAGCGTAACCGGCACGTTTTCAGTGCGAACGACAAGTTCTTGTACTGGGGCAACAGAATCGACTGTCCCGGAAAGCATTGCGAGTCTTGCGAGGGTTTGGGTCACCAGGAGTCCAGCTTGAGGTGTGCCCTTGAGGAGGCCATGTTCCTCCGGAGGTAATTTCTATGGAGTTCTTCTAAATTCTGGGGTTTAATACTTACTTTTGGGGATGCTTTCTCCTTGTTTTATTTGTTTGGTAGAAGTGGCTGCTCCAAGAATTGACATGATGATGTTCTGTATGAAGGAATTTTGATTTGGATTGTTGTAGTTCTGACACTAAATGGGCAATTCTCATATTTTGAAACTCATGAGATCAAAGAACTCTGCATTGGCATTCAACTTCTATTGCTTGATCACTGTAGATGTTATTGCTCTGTCACTTTTTCTTTGTAACGTAATGAATTAGTTCAATGCCCTTTTGATCGGAGCATTATTTATTGCTTGAAGGCTTTTGTATAAGCTACTTAGGCAAGTTGCTTCTCTCTCTCACTTTTTTCTTTTGGTGCAGAATATTCGTAATGCCCTCTAGAATGTGTATCAATCCTATACACAATAAGAAAGGGATTCTTCATCAGTCCAACAATGCAAGCTCAGAGGAAAGGTGTTTCTTCCTTCTAATACTTCTTAATCGTATAAATATTGTACCTATGAAATTTTGAATGAACATATACTTGATGGTAGTTGAAACTGTATTAGATTGGTCCTCTTCGTGCTTCAAATGAAGATGAAAACTGCCTTACATAGCCTTACATATATATATACACACATATACATACATACATATATATGTATATATATATATAATCGTTTGTAGAAAAAAACACAAAACCTGAACTTGTTTCTCTGCATTGCAGTTGGGAAGCAAAATCTTGTGCCATGGACTCTTTGTATGATATAGACCTTATTTCTGATACTGTACCAGTGATTTTAGACAACTCAAAACTATGGTATCAGGTGCTGTCAACTGGTATGAAATTGGGAGCTAGAGCCGTTGCCCATGTTGAGCGAGTTAGTCGTGCTGAACTCAAAGACAACAACCGTTACTCAAATCTTTTGCTAATAAATCGGACTGCCAGCCCTCTTTCATGGTAAATCAAACCTTGGGAAATAAAATTTTCAGTTCAGTAATCAAAACGTTTGGCCTCCATTCTTTTTTGTGGAGTTCCAGGTGTTACCATATTATAAATCAGTAAAAGCTTAAAGAAGCCTATCTTTGTAGTTTGTCGTTTCATGCATTTCTTTGTAACTTAGTATGATGGTATTTCATTTTAAGATCCTAAATTACGAATTATTTGGGTGTTAATATCATGATAACTTTTTAGGTTTATGGAATGCAAGGATAGAAACAATCGCAGTGCCATATTGCTGCCATATAAATTCCTTCCTTCAATGGCAGCAGAAAACTTGAGGGATGCAGCTGAGAAGGTATTTTATGAAATCATATTAGGTTCTTTCTTTTGTTTTCCATTGCATAGATATTTTTACTCTTCTATGATAAAATTACAGAGAGCCTATCAAAGTTGAAAACTGTTACCTTATTGCTTTCGAAACCTGGTTTCGATGCATTTCCATATTTATAGTTTGGTGTTTTAAAGTTGTAGTAGATGCTCGGCTTCAGTGTTATAAGATTTGGTATTTGGTTAGTTCTGACTTTCTGGATACTTCTAAGTGTAAACTTGCCACCCTAGAAAATATAATTATTAAGCTCTTGGTCGATTGTAGTTTATAAAGACTTACTTCAGATAGTTTTGGAAACATATAGCAAACCCTAATTAAAGACTAGTGAAATGATTTTTTATTAATGATAGCCTGGCTATCTGGGATGACTTTACTTTAGATACTCTTGAATATATATAGCAAGCCCTAGTTGAAGACTCCACAATGATCTTTTATTAACAATAACCTGGATATCGGAGGATGTCACTCCTTGCGTTATGCTTATGGCTCACCCTTACTAATTCTTAGGAAGCTTTGTGCTCTCTAAGTGGAGCTTCGAGAGACTTCAAGGGTTTTAAATTATTTAGTTTTCCAACCCAAGATGACTCACAAAATGATCTGGGACCAGGCAACAAAATGTTTCTGATAGACCCCAATTTTTATTGTTTTTATACGCTCGAGTGTGTGGGCTAGCTAAACTGCACCTTACTAATCTCCTGGGGCAACCACAGCGCTTAACTCTACCCAGGTTGCCTAGGAAACTAGGATTTTAAATTCTGTGGGTGGGTACTATAGTTTAAACTCATTTCCTCCGAGCCTTTAGGCCTTAATGACTACTAGGCCATCTTAGGGTGGTTCTGATAGGCCCCAATTCAAGACTTCCTTTGAGATAAAATCCCAAAGTTCCATCATCCAAAGTACTAGGAAAGTCCGTCTTTTTGTGTCTTTAATAAACGTCTATATTTTGCCATCATGCCATGGTTCTATAATATGATGGTGTTTAAAGAATAGTATAACAGTTCGAAGACAATGGTGAACAGTCTGTAGATTTCACAGTTCAGTGGTTTCTTTAAGCTGTATACAACCTCTTGCTGGAGAAAGAAAGTTGTAAGTAACCATTATTTGGATAGTTTTGTGGAAAAAATTAATATGGATTTTTATGTTAGTGGTGCCCTCTTGGGAACTGATCAGAAGGCACATAAATGATTGGGAATCTTTATTTCTCTGTTTCTATTCCCCTTTTATATTACTCTATGTGCTATAACTCTGAGGAAAAGATTTAAAAGTTTTTTTTTTCCTTTTTCAGAATGGCTCTATAAATAATGGTCTGTCCCCCAAAATCTTATTCATTGTATTCTGTGCAGCATAATTAATCCTTCTATATTGATAATTGCCAATGCATTTCATCCCTCTCTCATTTTATTGTTAATCCTGAAAAGACTATCTGATCATTAGATCAAGGGGCTACTCGGTGATTACGATGCCATCCATGTTCGTCGCGGAGATAAAATAAAGACCAGGAAGGACAGGTTTGGTGTTGATAGAAGCTTACATCCTCATCTCGATAGGGATACACGGCCCGAGTTTATGCTAAAGAGACTTGCAAAATGGGTAGCTCCAGGCAGAACACTTTTTATTGCATCGAACGAGAGAACTCCTGGGTTCTTTTCGCCCCTGTCTGCTCGGTGAGACCTTCTCACACACTTTTTTGATTCACTAGAGTTAGAGCTGAAGGATTGATTCGTTGCCATTTAGTAGTAAAATTCAGACTTCATTAAAATGATCTTCCTTGTGTTCTGATAGACTAATAGATCATCAAATGACTTGGTTTAGTTGTGTGTCCTTTTACGCGCGAGTTCCATTTTTAACCAAGAATAAAGAACAAAGTGTTTCCTCCATACCGCCTTGATTCTTACCCGGCTTTTGCAGGTACAAGTTGGCGTACTCCTCAAACTACAGCCATATTCTTGATCCCATGGTAAAGAACAATTATCAGTTGTTCATGATCGAAAGGCTCATCATGGCAGGTGCAAAGACGTTCATTAGAACGTTCAAAGAAGATGATACAGATCTCAGCCTCACCGATGACCCGAAGAAGAATACAAAGATATGGCAAAAACCCGTCTACACAGATGATGAAGAAAAAAGCTGAGGTCTGGCCCGAGTTATTTCTCTTAAGAAAATTTCATGGAGAGATCTTTTTGTCCATGTTAATGCCAACCAACAAAAGGCTCTCTGATTGCTCATTGAAAAGCTTTCATGGTGAAGGAGAGGTGGATGTTTGGCCAATGTTGTAAATGTGTGGTATAAATTATGATCCAGCCTTCTGAATTTTGCAAATTGGCATTCCTGTTATTGTCCACATTTATTTTTTCTTTTTTCCTCCCATCCTCCAATTTTACTATTAATTTTGTGGCCGATTCTGTTTTTGTTTTGTTTTTGTGTCTTTTTTTTTTAAAAAAAAAAAATACTTTTTTGGCCCTTCCACCCGAAGCTTTAGTTTGTAACAATTTAGTCTTTGTATTATTAAAATTGTAACAATTTAGTCTCCGAACTTCATATGTAATTCTTATTGTAAAAAATGTTAAGGTTTAATAGGATCTCTTATATATGTAGATGAATAATAGTATGAGAGATCAAAGGTGTGTATAAAAGTCCATAATAAAAATCAACATTTAAGTTAATAAAGACTAAGCAAATTTTTTATTATATGAAATAAATTGTTACAAATTTTAAATTACAGTATTATTTATTAAGATCTAAGAACTAAATTGTTAGCAATTTAAAATTACAAGGATTAAATCATTACAAACTCAAATATAAGAACTAGAACTAAGTAGTTACTTAAATGAAATAAATATAAGTCGTTTACTTAAAAATATGTATATAGGAATGAAAAGCGTTTTTTAATTCGAATTGTTATTATTTTTTTTTAGTATTCTAAAAGAAAGCAAGTAGTTTACTAGTAATGTTCTCCATATTTGAAATTGGCTGTGACACACCGAGAATTTGAAGATTTTTCATTATTACCCTTCCCTTCTCTTTTAAATGAAATTGTTTCCAATAAAAACAAAAATTGAGATTCAGCGGCACAAGATGTTTCGTGTCATAAAATGGACCATTTATGGAACTTTAAAAATGGAACAAATTGTCGAGGGACTCTCAAAATCTCGAAAAATTCTTTATTCTTTGATTAGATTATAATAAGTTCTTACTTTAATGTTATGTATTAAAGGTATTAACAACAAAATTTAATTGTAATTGAAGAAGAAATTTCAGAAATATAATTAAAACTTTTTAAAATTCAAAGAAATAAACCTAACCTAGTTTCTAAAATGTTATGGTACTAAGATAAAGCATCTCTTTTTCTCTTCCCTTCGCTCCCGCCTCAAAGCCCAGAAGATACCAAGGATTTTTTATATTAAGCACCTTTTTTTGAAATCAACAAGTAAAATGATTAAAAAAAAGACAACTGAAATGATTTCATTTTATAAAAATTATTCCGGCTTCCTCACAATTTCTTCATTCTCTTTTTCACCTATGCATTCCCGAACTTCAAAAATTATCTTCTAAAAACTATTTTCTAGTTTTCAAATTTAGGCTTAAAATTTGAAAATATTTTAAAAAAATAACTTGACGAAGAAACACAGACAGAGAAATAGAAAGTGTTTATAGACATGCTTAATTTTCCAACCTATAATACAAAAAATAAAACGATTATCAAGTGAGACTAATCTTTCCCAAAAAGAACAGAAAACTAAGAACAAGGACCTTAATTTTCTCAAAAGGCAACCGACAGAACCAACGAAACAACCACGTACAATCATCGTCAAAGCAAGCCCACCTCGAGTTCGACTAGACAGCCAGCGAGCGTTGTCCCCACTCGATGGAAGGACGTGGATCTCTGTTAATTAGCAGCAGCAAATATATAGACACTAGAAATCCATGTTCAAGTATAAAGCTAGACAATAAATTCGGCAATTTGAGACAATCTGATGATTTTCTAACCTTCATAAATGCAACATAAACAAATCCTACGGTTTTAAGGTGTGGTGGGGAGGGGAGGAACATGCCATAGAAGGTTGTTGTCGAGAGCACATTAAACACAACTCTTGTGCAGCAACTTAAACAAAAGCTTCTCATAACAGTTTCATCAAAGCACAAAAATAATCCAGAGCCGATTACGCTTCTTAAAGACCTAATCCAACGGTTCGACCATCTCTTCTTCGAAGTCCAGCAGTGTACTGTTTCTCTAAATCCAGCTGGAGCTCTTTCTGCTTCTCGGCACGAAGAAGTTCGCTGCCATCTTGGTTGCTCGGTCTGTGCTCCGTCTTCAGCTCGCCCTTCACACCCTACAATTGGCCATAGGCACCAAGGCAACCTCAGACTCTAAAAATGTGTTAGTAGGTGATGAAGAAACTCCAATGGGAGTGAGAGTCACGACAAGCAATGAAAGGTTGCAAACATTTATGGAAGTATTGAACAAAAGGGGAAGGGAGGGGAGGCGTGGGGTGGGGAGGGGGAGAGAATTTACCATGAGTTTATTGAATTTTTCTTGCCGTTCGCGATCGGTAAACAACGCCGTGTCCCACTGGTGTCCAGACTGTAAACAGTGGAAGAGGCATTATAGAACACAGAAAAGGGTCTGGCTAACTACAGTTTGGTTCTTGGAAGTCTCCAACTATGAACCAGATGCAAAACTATTTCATGCCAAACAAATCCCATAAAGCAGTATCATTCTAACCGATGAATAACAAGATGATTATGTAGCGGAATATCATGCATACCTCCTCTACGGCAGTGCTCTTTTTGTTCCCCCACAGCAGTTTCTTCTTTTGATCGGCAGTCATATAGCCCACACCAACAAGGTTCTTATTAACTGTTAATGGGATAGAACTGTCAGAACAACTAATTTTATAAACTTTAAGGTCAAAAAATTATAAATCATCCAAATCTGAAGTATTGTTGTTCTGTTGAAAGCCATGTCATAAACCAAAACGAAATGTAACATTCAACCACAACCTTGTTCCAGTTCTAGTAACTGATCTAAGAACCAAACTGTGATTATGAAGATACCCAAAATTAACTAAGTAATAAAACATCATGCTTCCCCTATAAGATAAGGCCAATTATACCATTAGGAACGGGAACTGGAGAGAAACCATAGAATTTGTACATGAAAGGATATATATTTTTCATCTTTTTTGGATACCATTCCCCTTTATACAGCTTCTTGGCGTAGGCTAAGTAAGCTTTTTTGTAATTACTTTCACAGCAGTATTTTGGTCAAGTGGAGGGCTTATAATCTCCTTTGGGTTAGGGACTAGGGTGGCTTCACTCCTTTCTTTTGTTGTGTGTGTGTATATATACATTTTTATATATATATATATATATATATGAAGTAAAGATGGCAAAAACTTACTTCGCACACTAAATATCTCCAGTCATCTACAGTAATCTAAAACTTAAGGATGTTAAAAGAAGCCAAGCAGATTTAGTAACTATATTTTTTGGAATTGTCAATAGAACGATTTTATTTTTATTTTTTTAATAAGAAACTGAGTCAATAGAACAATGTTAGGATGCAATCAAACTTTCTTCCAACAAAAAAACATAAATAAATAAAAACCCTGAGCAGAATGTTCAACAACAAAGTGATCTAGTAGTATGAATGTCTAACTTATAACAAAACTCGACCCTTTGCCCCTAGGTTGTATGCCTCTTTTTGGACTCCTTTTCTTTTGGAATGAATCTTTGTTTATTATCAAAAAAAAAAAAAAACAAATTAAACCAAAACTACTCAAGTGAGATCAATAACCTTAGGGTAGCATATAAATTTTCACGAAGAATAAGATTTTACCTAATTCAGCAGCTTTCATTGCAGCAACTTTTGCAGCACTAAAGTCAGCATCAAAATCAGAGTCGCCACTTTGGCCTTGTCCTAAACTCATTTTTCCATCCGGTTCTTGCTTAGAGATTGAAGATTGATTTTCTTCATCTGCACATCCAAATTTTGAAACGAGTAAGGGCAACAATATCAGTGTGGTGCTACATGAAAACAACTTGAAATAGTACATGACAAAGCACTGACCTTCATGATTAACTTCTTTTCCCGAGCTAAGCAATTTAGGCTTTTTAGCAGGTGATCCTTGATTTTCATGTACAAAAACACCTTTACCATCATAGTTTTCCTTTGATTCTTTACCTTGACCCTTGTCCCAGTTAGTTTCTCTGGCTTCATATTTCTTTTCCTCCTTAGAAAACTTTTCACCATCAAGTTCCTTCCGATCACTCCTGTAAACTTCTTTTGTACGGTACCTACTTTCATCCCTTCCTGACAATGAGTCATTCCGATTGCCCCTAGCATCATCATGGGAGATCAACCGATCATTTTTGTCGTCTCCAGGATGCTTTATATGGTCTCTCTTCTCATCTCGACCATCACGGTCTCTTATATTCCTATGTTTCTCCATTTCTTGGGAATTAACGTGTCTTCTGCCTGAACCATGTCTCTCAGATAATGAATCCCCATCCCTGCTTCTATGTCCAGAACCATCATATTTATCTCGAGAACTTTTGTCTCCATCCCGGTAGTAGTCTCGTGAACGAGAATGCTCACTATCTCGTCTTGAATGACCATAATGAGCACCACCCTTTGACTCTCTACCAGAACGAGAGGATAACCTCTCATAATCTCTTTCTTCATCTGCATATTTGTCATGTCTGACATAATCATCATGCCTAGAGTAACCATGTGAACTTCTAGAGGATTTCCGATCAGCATATCTGTAAGAATCAGAATTTCGACTATAATGACTTCTACTAGAATCCTTATTTACATCTCTTTCATCATCTTTCCTCCTTAGTTGCCGTTCAGAGTCTTTTGGGGCATCATCTCTCATGAGTTTTGGACTGCAGCTGCGATCTCGTTTGGGGCTTTCTGCCAAAAAGAGAAAAAAAAAGAAAAACATTTATCATGAGCACAAACACACTAAATAAATAAAAGGAAGGACCCACAGACCATGCCAGATTCACGTGGATACCGTCTTCAAAAGAAATTTTCACTTCAAAAGAAAATTTCCAAAGCCAAATCAAACTAACCATCGGATGAAGATGATCCACTAACAGAGGACCGGCGCCGATACTTTCTGCTAGCTGTTTCAGAAGATGGCTTACGAAATTCTGCTTTCATACCGGCATTATCCATCTTAGGAGATTACAAGTTGAATCCACCAAAGAAACCCGACTTCAAGTGAAATTAGAATTGCCAAAAAATGACCTGAAACGAACACACACAGTCAATGAACAAGTCCACTTAGAAAGAAATGATCAAATCCAGCAAACTTGATCCAAAATCCCAAAAGGAGCAAAAAATTGCCCATTATCAAATAAAACCAAACACTCCTCGTCGAGGGGAAGTTAATAGAAGATTTTCCACAAGATTCAATTTACGATAGTACAAGCCTCAGCAATACAACATTGCCACCAACTTTTACAAGCTTACCAACACAACAAACTAATCCCACATCCGGAAGAAGACGGCAAAATCACATTTCAGCTCCTAAAAGTTGCAGCAAGATTTTTTTTCTTTTTTTCCCCAAAGGGGCGAAACTCGATTATAAAAACCAACTACATATCCCAACGGAACGAAAAGAAAAACCCATCCAAAGCTTGAAAAGACAAACCCTAAGTCAAGTGCACCTTCTGTTTCACTTCCTCAGGAAGTTCTCAACAAAGCAATCATCAAACCCTAGGGTTTCAAACATCGACGCACTCCGATACAAAACCTAATTCGAGAAACGAAAGAAGAACCGAGAGATTGAAAGAAGAAATGGATGTCGGTACCTTGCGAGGCGATTCAATAGCAAATGATTCGATTGATTTGCAGCATTCGAATGATTTTGGAGCGGATTGTTCATTCATTCCCCTTCGATTCTACGCATTGGTTTGGTTTTTTTGTGTCTGCTTCAGAGATATTTTTATATGAAGGAATGAGATTCGGTTTCGCACTCTGTACGTGTCGAAATATCTTTTTCCCTTATCGAACTGAAAATTGTGATAAAATAATAAAATCCGAACTTACAAAAATACCCTTGTTTCTTAACTTTTTTTTTTCTTTTAAATATTTTAGTCCTTGTATATTTTTTTTGGGGCAAAATACATTTTGGTCTTACGTATCTATTTAATCTCTAAAGTTTCAAAAGGAACACTTTTAGGTCCGAGGTAGCTGTCTACTTGTCCAAGTTTTAAAATAAACATTTTTTATCCTTAAGTATAAATTAGGTGTCAACTTGGTCCCTGAAATTTTAAAATGAACACTTTTGGTCCCTGAAATTTGATAAATAGTTCTAAATGGTCTCTGATTTTTTTTACTGTTAATTAACTAATATTAAAATGACGTGTCAAATTGCAATTAAATTATTTATTATAGTTACTAACGTGACAAATTATATTAATTAAATAATACATGTGTAGGTGATGTACTTTCTCTCTCCTTTCCTCATCTCTTCCTCTCTCTTTCTCCTACCCTTTTTCGATAACCACCACGTCTTTGCCGCCGTCCGCCATTCATACCAGACATATATCGTTTAATTAATATAATTTGTCATATCATCGACTACAATGAACAATTTAATTGCAATTTGCCATATCATTTTAATATTAGTTAATAATAGTAAAAAAAGAAATAGGGACCATTTAGAATTATTTCTCACACTTCATAGACGAAAAGTGTTCATTCTAAAATTTCAGGGACCAATTAGACACCTACCTTAAACTTCAGGGACCGAAAGAGTTCATTTTGAAACTTTAGGGACGAGGTAGACAGCTACCTCAAACCTCAGAGACCAAATATATATTGTTCTCCTATTTTTATTCATTTTGGTTCATTTTACTCTGATCTAAGTTTAAATATTTTAAATATTTCATCAATTTCCTAACCGTCCTTGTTTAAATATTTTAGTAGGGTTAATTCAAAAAATATATGTATATATATATTAGTAGTAACTTTCCTTACTCTGATTTCATTATAATCTTTTTAACTTTCACAATGTAAAAATTAGTCGTTAAACTCTCAGAGTAGAACTATTTTGGTTCTTATCTTAGTTTTTCTTTTAACAGATACATAAATTAACTTCTAGTAGTCAATTCTACCACAACTTAATAGATAAGACATTTATTATCATCTAAAATATAGATGGTTCAATTTCTACCCTCTACGATTATTGAACTAAGAAAGAAGTAACTTTTGAGTGTAAACATATATTAGGTGAGAAAATTATAGTAAAGAAGTCGTGTTAGCATGTTGGTCCAAATACTTGAAATAAGGTTAGCATTTTGGTTCAAATATTCAAAGTCATGTTATCAATTATTAAAAAACTAATAACATTTATGTTAAAAAAAAAACTAATAGCATAATAACAACAAAAACCAAAATAAGAAATTTAGGTATTAAAATAGACATTAAAAATATTTAAGAATCCAAACTAGAATAAAACTAAAAATTTAATAAATAAATGGATTTTTGAAAGTTTAAGATCTAAAATATAATGTAACAAAACGAAAACCTAACAATTTTAAAGATGCCATACTTGTCATATTCTTTAGAAAAATATGATATTTATTTTTAGTAAAATCATTTATTCAACATTCAACTTCAGTGGTCATCATGAGCTTACACCATAAATGAAATATGCTTCTTCCTTTCAATGGAAGGTTCAAACTTCAATACCTTCGGGTTATTGTACTAAAAAAACATTCAGTATACTAAAAAACATTCAACTTCACTAAAAGATGGTGTGTAATATAAAAGAAATAATAATAATATAATGTTTTTTGAAAAAAGAAAATGATCTATCTCCATGCTGATCGATACTTATCGGGAAGAACCTAAGGGTTCGTTTGGTTAGAAACTTGGATTCTGTTTTTTGTTTTCAGATTCACTAAATTAAATGGATTCAGTGAATAGGCGTTTGACAGAATTTTTGAGATTCTTTTTTGAAAATTGTTTTCGAATTCTGTGATCCAAACAGTAGAAATTCTGAAAACGACTTTTTTATGTTTTCAGATTCAGAATTTGAAAATTTTAAGATACAGAATTACATTAAAAAGATAAAAACTTCGATAAAATATATTACTTCATATTATAAACTCTAAAATTGAAACATGTAAAATATAATGTATTCTAAACTATATAACCTTATAAAATAATAATCATACAAAATTCACAAAAAATGTTAATAAATTACTTAATATAAGTTTAGATTAAATTAAAATTTAGTCTGTAACTATTTTCAGTTTACAAATATATTGCTAAATAAGCATTGAACAATTTTTTAAATTCAGATTCTATTACCAAATCTGTTACCAAACACATATCTAAAACCATTAAAAGGAATACAAATCTGGTTTTCATTGAATCCGTTGTTTTCAAATTTCTATTTTCTGATTATCAACCAAATGCAACGTAAGTATTTTGAGAAATCAATTCTTAAGATGACCAAAAGACAACATAACTATATAGCTGCAATGTATCCATGTGTATAATTGAGCATATAACCAATATGTGGTTGGTGTCAATTTTGGTCACAAACCGACATCAAAAATCAACCATTCAATTGACGTTGGTCAATGGTTTTGCAAGCAAAAACGAAATTGATCGTTGGTTTTGGTTAAAATCGAAGAGAATAGAGAAAGAAGAGAGAGAAAGACGATGAGAGCTCGCTACATTTCGAGGAATCAAAGGAGTTTATCGTCAAAAAAGGAAGACGGTGCCTGTGAGAGAAGGGAAGAGTTGGGTTTGAGAGACTGGATGGAAGAGAGATTGGAAATGGAGAGAACCGACACTGACCAAACCGTGGTCCAAATTGACCAATCAAAGTCGGTTTGGTTGGTTTTGGTCGGTCGATCCGATCTTTTAGAGATGAAAGAAGAGCAAGAAGACACATAAATTATAATGGTCTGATCCAACAATGGATGCACATCCACTTAGGTCCTCCACTAGTTGCACAGTATATCAACAACATTTGAGTATTTTAGCTTCCTCTCGCCAATATCCAGTGTTTGATCGAGAATTTGATCAAAACCTCGGACTTCTGATATCAACGTAAAAACGACCTACAAAATAGAGTTAGTACTCCAATGCTCAAGTAAGTACGTTATAGTTTTGTATAACTTGCATGAGGGGTGATGATCTCTATTAATAAAGGTGAGTTCCTAGTGTCAACAAAGAGAAAATTTGCGTGAGTAGAACGTAGTTATACCAAATTTCTTTTATTACCCGTCAAAGTTGGTTTACATCTAGTCTAAATTCACAACATTTGATCATCTCAAAATTAAAAAAGAAAGAAAGAAAGATAAAAAGACAAACTACAAATCCTTAGATTTTTAGATTTGTATTATTCAATAGGTCACTGAATTTTTTATTTTGTGTTTAACACATTCTCGATTTATTCAACATTGTTTTAAAAAACAAAAATCACAAATTTATTACACATTAAATTTGAAAGTTTTTTTTAGTATAATATGTGGGATGAGAGATTGAACTCACAACCTCTTGATTGAAGATATATGTCAATTATCGCTAAGTTATACTTGTTTTGACATTAAACTTGAAAGTTTTGGTTCATATTAGAAATAAAATTCAATTTTATGTCTCATAGATTCATTAATTCTAAATAAATGTCAAAACATGTCAAGGATCTATTAAACCCAAATAACTTAATTGTACATAAACCAAAGCGAGCATAGCTCAGTGGTAATGACATATATCTCTAACTAAAAGGTTGTGAGTTCGTCCCCCACCTCCACATGTTGTACTCACAAAAAAAACCTAAAAGTTGTATGACTGCCACGAGTTTAGCATTCCTTTACTTTTTCACTTGCCTCAAATAACCACTAGATCATTCTATGATGGGTGTGTACCGTATAGTTCAGATATGATAGTCTTTGACCCTAATTCCAAACCTTTTCGGGTGCATGATAAAAAGTGCAAAAATATATATACAAAAGTTTAACAAATAATGTCAACTTGCACATGAATCAATTGGTTGAAGTATACATCACTTATCAAAATGTTGGAGGTTTCAAATTCTCACCAAATTAAATATACATAATTGACAATATCAATTTAAACGTAGCTCAGTGGATAAGATACTTGTTACCTCTAACTTAAAAAAAATATATAAAAATCATGTGATGAAACTATTGGTATCCTTTTACTAAAAGAAAAAAAAAAGGAGAATACTTATATTCAATGTGGAAGGACATATTTGACAATTTCTCATTATATACTTACCTTATTCTCCTTTCCTAATTTTTCTGTTGTAGAATTTGTCCCACAAAATTGTATTTTTAAAAGATAAAAGTAGTATTTATTTTTAATATTTCAAATTTTGATGAGAAGTATCAAGTTTGATTTTAGGAATATTTTTATCTCACCTCTTCTCGAGAAAAGAGTAAGTTCCGGAATCAAGATTCCATTTAATAACTATTTTATTTTTGGTTCTCAGATTTTGAAAATGGACTTATATACACTATTACCTTTGTAATTATTTGTTTTTTTATCCGTCTTTTTAAAATCTTTGTATCTTTTAAATCCATGAAAATACATATATAAATTGAGAGGAAGCAAGTATAATTTTTAAAAACAAAAAATAAAAAACGAGATCGTTATCCAATATGAGACTTTAAGTATCTAGGGAAATAACTAAGAGTTGTTTATCTCTGGAACTTCTTTTAATATTTATTATTTTAGCTACCATTGGCAATGAGTACGTAATTAATTATACTATTCCTTTTCGTTTTCAAGTATTTATTGAATGTTAAGGACGTATCCCAAAATATCTCAAGAATGGTATGATATTTGTCCGTTTTGAGCATGAACCTCACCGTTTCGTTTTTTATTTCATCCAAAATACCTCGTACTAATGGAGATAATTGTCTCACACCTATATACTATGGATCAATCCATCATCCAACGTGAGATTTTATTTGCACTTCTTACAACCCCAAAAATCCAGGTGTTCATCCCTATCAACCACCATTAAATTTTTACAATAAGGAGAGAAAAATATAGAAGAATAGATATTTTTTTTAAAAAAAATTCAATTTCTAAAATGGGCAAATATCATAGCTAAAATTTGAACCGACTCCAGATAACATTGCTTTTCTCATTAATGCTTTGTCATCACTGGTTGCCATTTTCCTCCAAGAAATTCCATTTCAAATGAAAAATAAATCAAAAGTGTCCTAATAATAATAAGAAGAAGCTGACTATATTGAGTTAAAGAGCATAAGCTTCAAACAAATGGAAATCCTTGGAAGACCAAAGATTTCACAGTCAAGATTAAGCAGAATTTTAAGTTACAAAAACAGAGAGATTCTACACAATTAGTCTTGAGTCAAACTCTCTATACAATACTCTGAATTTCAACTCTACCAAAAAAAGAGAGAGGATTTTGTTATGGGAGAGAAGGACAACTACAGAACATGCAGAAAACTGTGGTTCTCAAGGCTTCACATCTCATAGCAGAAAAATATGTTGTTCTTGTCTGTCTCTTTGTGTGTGTGTTTGTATGAAAGTGTACTAGATGCAGAATGTATGGTCAAGAAAACGTCACGAACTTCTCGATCGTTGCTGCTCTAGTCCGGTTTCGGGTCATCTCCTCGATCGATCGGCACATTTTCGATCTAGGAGAATGGCCAAAAAAAGAAGTAAAAAAAAAACTAGTTGTTTTAAGGTTTGATTTTATGTCATTTCTTCTTGTTGGTGCGAGTGGGAAACCCATTTAGAAGTTTGACAAATCCCAGGAAACTAAGTTTCCCATCTGCAGGTCTTATCCAATCCTGGAGAACCACATGAAGCGAGACGGATGGCCCCAGTCCCAGTTCCTACGTACGGCGAAAAGTAGATGTTTCAGGTGTTAGACTGGTCATCTCTCATGATCTTTTGTTAAAAGGTAAGAGAGATAAATGTAAAAGAAGAGATACTTTTTGTGGTTTTCAAGAGAATGAATAGTGGTAAAGTTTTCAGTGGCGATCACAGCCAGTTAGAACCTAAGTATTTTTCGTAAATGAATAAGATATCGAGATTTCAAACCGAGAGAGCATACCGAGTCAAGTTCCTCTATCATAATTGGTCTGTTTCCATCCTCCTCAAAGAGGTCATAAGCATATCTTACATGCAGCTCCCAGCTTTCAGTGCCATTCAGCTGATGCACACTTATGGCAGCTGCACAGAATTCTTGAAAGTCCATCTTTTTATATGGGGAGGAACTCACCTGAAACATTCATACTTTAATTATCACCTTCACTTTTCGATTCTTACGGTCCGTTGATAACGATTATATTCTTTTTTTACTTTTAAAAACTAGGCTAATTACTTGTTTTAGCTCCCAATGCATGAATGTTATTTTTTGCAACTAGTTCCTATCGTTTAAAAAGTTTCAATTTAGTCTCTTACATTTTTATATTTTTTAAATTATACTCTCATCGTTGGTTAAATGTTAAAATTGGTTTAATAATAAACTTATATTGGTATGATATTGAGTGCTATAGCAAAACATTGGAAAAGGAATTCAAATCTTTCCTCCCCCGGGTGGCCTATTCTTTCTCTAAATTTCTTCGACCTTACTGAGTATTTTATACCTTGTAAGTTTATATCAACCAATTTTATCATTCACCCGTGATTAGGATACAATTGAAAAATGTTAGGGTTTAAGACATATGAAAGAAAAAAACGTTATAGACAACATGGACTAAATTGAAAAGAAAACACCCGAACATAAGAGATTAAGACACATATATGTAGCTGTCAAGTAAGTGTGACTCAATGGTTAAGATATGTACCCTTTCGTTAACGTTAGAGATTCGAATCTCCAACCTTACCTATTTGTTACACTGACAAAATACATATATTTAGCCTAAAGGATAAACTTTGAAACCTACTCATACCTATTGATTTCTTGGTTCAGTTTCCAAAACTTCGCTAAGAAACAAAAATGTATCTGATGGTGGATCATATTAGAATAGAACAACAGCTGTTGGCAACCAAAGCATGATTTTTAATAACGGTAAACTCCAAAATAAAAACGTTATCAAACGGATCTATATTTGAAACATCACTAGTAAGAGGATTACCATGTCGACGTAATCTATCACCCCTGAATCGTTCACTGCATCGGTCGAAGTATTGATAAATGCCTGCTTATGTATTCCAACAGTCAGAAAGTTTCAGCATTGCTGTTGTTCTTGGAGAAAATCGAGATGGCTAAAGAGCTAACCGTCTTAAAGTTGTGCAACGAGATGAACCCGATTTTGTTCGGACCTAAGAGATCGAATTGTTCCCGAAGATAAGCGAGCTGCACAAAGGATAACGTCTTTGCAAGAGCCTGTCAGAAATACAGAACTTTTATTTATCCACAGTTCCAAGTATTTCCATAGCAAGTATAAAATGTTTCAGGAGAAAAAAAAAGTATGATTTTTTAGCATTGCTTTCCCTCTGTGAGCAATGAAAAAAGTAACTATACATGTGTGTTTAAAAATGATTATCAAACGAGTTCTGTATCTATAATGAAAAAAAAAGTATGGTTTTAATTCTTAGGCAAATAGCTCAAAAAGTTCTAAGTTGGAGCCTTTAGGTAAAGCTATCACACATATTTTCTTTATAACGGAGGGATTAAAGGTCGTAGTCCTTACATTATACTCATGTCCCATTCCTACTAATTATCAAACATGGTTCGCCCACTCTAAGGCCAACTCTAGGAGATAATAATAATAGTTTTAAATTATTAAATTTTGGTCTAAATTCAATTGTTGTTCCTGTTTTTGGAAGATTATTCTATTTTGATCTTTAAACTTTCAAAAGGTTTATTTTGGTCTCTAAACTTTTGAAATATCTATTTTAATACTTGAATTTTTAAAAAATGATTATTTAGTTCTTACTTTTATTTTATTTTTAACAAATTAATAATACGCCTCCGAGGTATACGGTAACATGTTAATGTAAGCATGTATCAAAGACATAGGTGGGAAACAAATATTGGGAAAGCAAATTTTAGTTGGCAAACTAATATAACAAAGACCAAAATGGTCATTTGTAAAAGTTGAGGGAAAAAATGATTACATTTTTAAAGTTTAAGCACTAAAATAGAACCAAGCTCGAAAATTCATGACCTATAGAATTTAGATACTTGGTTCTTGAACCTAAAACTTGCATCTCCCATCACTTGTCTATTTTGTGGATTCATAAGATACACTTTTCTAGTATAATTATGACTCTCTCTCTCACTTAAACTATCACGGTTCTCGATGACATACTCACAGAGTACCATCCACATATTGTACATCGAATTTTAACACTCACCCCCACTTAAACTATCATCATCCTCGTCGACATATTCATTGGGTACAATCAACAAATTCCACGAGGGATTGTAGAGTGTATCTCAAAAAAATCCCACCCCTATGAAGTAAGATGTAAACGAAGAATTACAACAATTGAAATGTCACATTTAACGAAAGAAAACTTCAAACTTTGGAGTTAGAACAAAATATATAATGAAAGAAGAATTAAGTAAATTTTAAGAGCGCTTACATTCAACGCTAATCTCCGCAGAGAAGATGAATAGATATAAGCTCTAACAAGCTTATAAACTATCATATCCAATGGAATCTTGACATCAGGATGATTTGCCAGCCATGGATGACCTGTAAACACAAAATTTGGAGAAGAAGCATTAGAAAAGTTTAGAAGCTTTGTCCTCCTTCTATAAAGAGTAGATTTCAGTTCAATAAACTTACACAGAGCCTGAGCAGCAGTTAGTCTTTTAAGATGGTCCTTATGCAGTAATCCCTTCACAAAGTCTTTTGCATCAGAAGATAAAGATGGCCAAGGATCGTCGTCGAAGCTCGGATCTGCCTTCAAAACGGTTCGGAATATGCCGGATTCGGTCCTAGCCCAGAAAGGTCTGCTTCCACATAAAAGAACGTAAGCGATCACACCGATACTCCACATGTCCGCCTCGGTCCCGTATGATCTTTGCAGGACTTCAGGAGCTACATAGTATGCACTGCCAACTATATCATTCAGTCTCTTGTCTGCGAGATTTCGAACAATCAGATGTCAACTCTATGCACCAAGACGATCGAAGCTAAGCGAAGAAAATGTCACGACTCGGAGATGGTAGTTTAGACCTGGATTTACATAGTCTGAGAGTCCGAAGTCAATAACCTTAAGGGGTGAACTCTCTTCTTGGGTAGTGAAAAGAAAATTCTGCCACACCGATAATTTTAAGTTAAAAGTATTCATAAACGATTAAAGTTACCGTAATACATCAGCTTAAACTTTAGAGTTCAGTGGTTATTTAACAAGAATTGAAGTTAGCATCAAGGAAAACCGAAACATATCACAGAAATATGAACTAATTCTACCTCTGGCTTCAGGTCACGGTGGACAACTCCTTGAACATGACAGAAGCCAATCGCGCTTAAAATCTGAACCATCACAACCTTAGCATCTTCTTCCGAGTATATTCCACCCCTAAAGAATCCAAATGTGTTACCATCTCAAACCGTATAATGTTTCCCTCATGAGAATAATGGAAGTTAATGAGAAGCGATACCTCGAAAGCATCCTATCGAGTAATTCGCCTCCTTCGCATAACCTGAAGATCATGACAGAAAGTAGAAGAGTATTCAGAGAATTAGCAGACAAATCTATATCATTTTCACAATTTATAATCTTTGCCTCGCACTAGCATACAATGCAAAGGTAGCGGCAACTATATGTTACGTTAGTACCTCTGTGAAAACATTTCTATTAATATTTATGGATTTCATCTCAAAACCAATTGGTAATGAGAGGAGTAGTCGATATTTATTATAAACCATTTCCTTAACATGTCTCGCAAGATCGTGGCTCTTTTGGCTCATTGATTTTGATCGGATCCCATGACCGGTTGCTTTTGGACTCTGATATCATATTAATATTCATGGGGTTTCATCTCAAAACCAAATTGGCTATGGGCTATGGGAGGAGTAGCCCACATTTCTTTAACAATTCCTACTACATGTTTCTATTTTTATTGAAAAATTTAAGCATTTGACAACTATTTATATTTCATGTTTCTCATTTTTTAGAACATTCTCACAACTGTATAGAAACTTTGGAAAAAAAAATTTATTGTTTCTCATTTCTGTCCAAACAAAATCAAGTTTCCTTATTTTTTCAATTAAAAAAATTGAAGTACAAGAAATAGTTATCAAATGATTATTTTTTCCTTATTAAAAAAGAGGAAACAATAAACAAGAAACAGGAATGTTACCAAACGAACTCTTAGGGCTAATTTGTTAACGTTCTAGTTTCTTGTTCTCAGTTTCCAAATTTTATTAAGAAACGTAAGCATTTTGCAACTAAATATGTTTTTTGTTTCTCATTTTTTGGAAACATTCTCAAAATTGTATAGAAATTTAGAACAATCAAGTTTCTTGTTTCTTGTTTCCGTTTCCAATTTGTTACAATACATGAATTCATGAGCCTTTGACTATACAATTCTATTTTTCTTCATTAAAAATGAAGAAACAGAAACAAGAAACGGAAACGTTACCAAACGAGCTCTTAATGATCAACCTGACAAGTTGTAGATCCAGATACCTTTAAGATCCATATGCTTGAATCATGGCATATTAAATAACCACCAAATGTTGTTAGGTCAAACAGACGTCTCTTAGAAATCGATGTCAAGATTACCGAGCAAGAATATATAAGTAAAATAGTAAGGTATATGTGAACATAAACTCACTCCATTATTATGTAAACGTTATCGTCATCTTCAAACGCTCCATGGAAGTGCACGAGGTTCTTATGTCCGTTTAGAGCCTGCAATATTTTCACTTCCCTTTTCACGTCCTCAACGGCTATCGCAGTCGACATCTGTGGAAAATAACACATGATTTCAACTGCTTATATAGGCCCTGGCCAAAGGACAACACTAAATTGAGTTATGTTCTTAGGCTATATATGCTATAACAACTTGAACAGAAACAACACAGTCCTGCCCTTCCCATATTTACATGAAAATGGCTTGTAGTAAGCTAACAAAAATGTTGAAGGCAGTGCCATATTTGTCTCTTGAATTGTAAGAAAAATCTGAGATGTATACTCCTATTGAGAGTCTGGGGCATGTTTTCTTCACCGACACGCCCTATTGGTTTTAATAAAGTCAAATTACAAATTTAGTCCATAAACTTTGACGATTGTATTTATAAGACAAAGTTGGTTAGTTGATTTGGTAAAACAGTGTAAATAATTCGCAAAAATAATAGAGAGTCGAACAAAATAAAGTGGCATGGTCCGTCTATACGAGAAATTTGATATATTGTCTAAAAAATAAACTATGTAGCACGTGCCAATTTATTTTATCCAGCTATCTATTTCCTTCACTTATTTGATTTTCGTGTCGTGCCAAATCAACCAAAGTTGTGTGTAATGGACATGTCACTTTTATCATTTAGGGAAAATTTTCTAGAACTAGGTACTCCCCTATTTACACAATAAATAGAATAAATAGATCCCACGTCATTTTTAATACACTGCTGATGTGGCAAGCAGTAAATGGAACGGCGTACACTAGTACCAAAATCTTTTCGTATCATGTAATCCAACTCAAAGTTGATGAGTGGATTGTTACAGATTTGGTAACTATCTAATTTTTATAGACATAGTTAGATAAAATAAATAATTAAAAATTATAGCAAAATTAAAATACAAGTAAATCAAATGATTACAATAGCAAAATAAATAATTGAAAATTTGTTTATTGAAAATATAGTCATGAAAGTAGGTAAAATAAATAATTGAAAATATAGAAAAATTAAAACACGAGTAAATAGTAGAATACTATGATTATAGTTAATCAGTACTTAAAGTTAATTAGTAATAATAACTATGATTATAGTTAATCTAGATTAAAATCATGATTTTTCAGACGATACTATAATAATTTATTATGTTAATGAGTGATTAATAATTTTTTTTCTTGAAAAGTTGTTATATATTTTTATTTAAAAAATATATTATATTTGTAAATATTTTTAAATTAAAACTATCCATTCAAATTTTATTGCCATTTAATTTTTTTGTTTAAAATATTTTGATGGAATCTTAACGTAGTCATTTGTTTTGTTTATTTACCTAATAACTAAATATATCTTAGTGTACTAAGAAAAAAAACCTTAGTAAACAATTATTTGGAAACCTAAGTTTTAATTACTTTTGGACTTTCATATTTATTCTATTTTAATTTATGAGAAAATTCAGAAAATCATTTTAAATGATGCAATTTCAAATGATTTAAAATTCCTTATTATAATTATTTTTGAAGAGAAAAAATATGAAATAAACTTAATTAATTTTTTTTTTTGTTTAGATCTCCGCTGAAAAAAGAAAAAAAAAGAATTTTTTTTTAAGAAATAAAAAAAATATAGAAGTTTACTCATATTACGTTCCAATCCTAAATAGTTAATAAAAATCGAAATATGGCAAGTTTAAACATTTTATATATATATATATATATATATAAATTTCGTTGAAAACATAAACATGTTTTTTAATACAATATGTGGAGGTGGAGACAAAACTTACAATCTCTTGGTTGTAGACATATGTCACTACTAAACTAACATAAATGTGTTTTTTAAAAATGTGAAATATATATTTTTTTAAAATTGTGAGAAAAAACTAAATTCGTATTGTAATCAAATAATTTCTTTTTTAAAAAATTATTAGAAATTTTTTTTTATACCTAAATTTTTTTTTGAAAGGGAAAATGAACAGACCTTGGGTTTAGGGATGATCTTAACAGCAACATTCCGGCCCTTGAGATTTCCCTTCTTCGCCATGGCTCTGCAAGTGAACCCAAACTGGCCGCGCCCCACTTCTTCTCCCACCTCGAAATTCCCCAAGAACTGCTTCGAATATCCGAAATTCTTGTTCACTTCCCCCTCCCCTTCGCCGTCTTCCGGAATCGCCGCCTGATTCGGCTTCGCACAGCCGTGGCGTCGGGCCAGCAGCTCCTTGATGTGTTTCGCCGGAGACGGCGGCGGGAACGGCCGGCGGCGGTGGCGCGAGTTCGACGGCGAGTTTTTGAAGAGGCTCGACACAGGACTCGGGCTGTAGAACGAGGGGGAATTCCTTGAATCGTCGCGCTCCTCGCATTTCGCCCTAGGGTTTGCGATCAGCTTCGCATGGCAGATTCCCATGGAATGCTCTAATCAGAGACCTGGAGGCAGGGGAAAAGCGAGAATCGAAGCGGAGAAGAGGAGGAATGGGGAAATCGATGAGGAGAGACCTCCGATGATCATAGCGCCATGAACAAGGTAGAGAAATCTAGAGCTAGCTGAGGAAAATTGGAATGGAGAGGAGGAAATTGATGAGAAATCGAGTTTGTTTTTCTGGTTTCTGCAAATGCAATGCCCTGAATCTGATTCTGATGGCGAAATTCATACTACAAGACAACCAAAATGGGAGCAGAAAACAAGGCAAAACAAGAAGCAAAGAAAATTCTTCAGAGGCCAGGTGAGAGATCTTTGCAGCATATAATAAATGCTAAATTTACAATGCAATTCAGTACTCGACTTTCTTTTTATGCTGGTTTGTTTATACTCTGAAAAATAAAGATATTATTATATGACATTATCCGAGTGGGAAATTGAACTTTCAATCTTTGAAGCATCCATGGAGTTCGAGAGATATCTTCACTTTATATATACTATGGTATAGTATGATATCTTCCTTGCTTTTAGTCCATGTAAGACTATTGCTTTACAATCCCAACACAATCATCAAAATTTAGATATTTAGATATTCGACATGCAGTGTATTGGGTTGTTTTAATCTAACTTTCAAGTTTGTTTCATTTTTTGTGATATATTTCAATCTAATTAATTTTGCCTTGGTTAACAAGATCTTAGGATCTTTTGGTCATACAGGTTTAGACAATCAAAAACTCTTGATATCTTTTGGATAGAGTATGGGGTGGATGCAGGTACCCTTGAGAAATTGAGTATAGAAAACAAAGCTCTGACTCTTAGTTATTTAAGGAAAAAAAAACAATTGTAATTAATTATGCAAATTTACAATAATATGTTAATATAGACATGTACTATTGATCCACGGTGTAGGTGGCTTACCTACCAAACTACTCATTTGAGAAGTTAAGAAAGTCCCTCAAATTGCTTCACATTACTTCTCCAGTAGTACACTACTCAAAATCACCTACAATTCTCAACTTAAGTTTAGAGATTAAAATAAATATTTTGGTAGTTGAGTAATTAATATGGTTACTTTTTAAATGTTTAGATTTATGATTTAACCCAGAAGAAAAAAAAGTGAGTGGGAAAGTGAAGGAAATGGTTAGGAAGGAAGGAAAGAGGAGACATAAAATCTCCACTTTCTCTTCTTTTTGTGTAAGCTTTGGTATGTGATGACAAATTGACAAAGTTTTATTTTAGCAATTGGTGGGAGAAGAATTTGTGTTTGTGAAAGCAAAATAATGGAAGTGGGGTTGGGGTTTGGGTTTGGGTTTGGATCCTTCCAGCCTGTCTTTCTTTGGCCACCACAAAAACCAAGAAAGATCTATATATTTATTTATTTATAATTTCATTTTCTTGCTCTGAGCTTTGTAACAAGATGTATTATATTGATATATCTTGGTTTCAACTATCTTTGTTTGTATGTGAAACTTTTCAAAGCCACCTCTTTGTTCCTTCCATCTCATATACTTTGGTGATGCATTTGAATGTAAATTATCTCTAATCCCTTTATTTGGAAAATTGAAGAAAATAGAGATGTATCAATATTTATGTTTAAATCTACTCTATCGAATAAAATACACCATCAAAATTGTAGAGATAGAAAGAGTTCGAAAGAACTGATGTTAGAAATCCTTATGAATCTGTTTGCTAGGATTGCATAAGCTTAAATTCTGCATCTGAAAACTATGGTTGTCTCTACAATTTTGATGTTGTATTTTGTGGAGAAACTAGGCTTGCCCCTATTTATAATCTCAATCCATCATAGAGGTTCTAAAATCGTGGGTGATTAGTGGCTATTTTTAGTTTCTTACATAAATGGATTAGAGCAACAACTTTGGACTTGGAAAAAAGTCCAACAGTTGCTCAAATGGATTAATGTCACCATGATTTTGCTTAAAACAATACACATTAAACATGTTGGGACTTGAGAGTATTATTTCAAGGTGAAGCTTCTATTATTTGGCTCATATCAAGACAGGTACAATTATGTTGAGAGGGAGGGGGACTTAAAAAATCTTTAAAATTATGTAAAAAAAAAAAAATCTCTAAAATGATACATTTATCTTGAAGTCGAGGATCTAGTTGTATGTTTCAACTTTCACGAGTTGAATCATATTACATTATATGACGAGTTGAGTATGAATTCATCCCTCTCATCTTTCGGATGTGATTCTGTCATATGTCTCATTTTATATTTCTATGTACCAAGCAGATAATTGTGACTCAAACTCAAGCATTGATTAAAGGTTCGAATAAGAAGTTGCAATCTCTTTAAACTTTAAGAAATATTTGACAATATTTTGGATGTTTTTTAATTTAAAGTTTTGACCGACATGTTAATGATTTAGTCAAGGGGAAAAAATATATTAAATTCATAGATTTTTTATCAACTACCACATGGATGATATAGACTTTGCACTTCCATATAGTGTGGATTAAAAAAGAAAGTAGATAACCCACCAAAATTTAGCAAGATCGTATACTTCACCCCTCACCACTAAGGGAGTGGTAAATTCTCACATCCATATTTATAATTTATAATGTTATACTAAAAAAATTACATAATATATATGTGAGGTCTTTCGTAGTAAATCTAAATGTTGTGAGACACAGATTCATATAAATGTAATTTTAAATGCAGTAATGTAAACTATACTTAATTTGATTCTTGGCAGAGGGTAGAATTTTAATACATATGAATTTCTTGTAAGTTCAAAATATTATATTATAAAGAAACATTTGTTGTCATTCTCAAGAAAAAGTTGGATGATGCTTTCTAAAATATGTTATAATTAATGAAGATGTTTGGTAATGTGATGGTAAGACAATTATTATCCATAATCATTCTTACATTGACTTTATTTTTAAATAATCAATTTATATTTCCGATAATCATTCTATTTTCTAATTAAAGAAATAAGATTAATATTATTTTTCTCATGTGGTTCTTTATTGTTATCTCTTTTACTATAAAAGAACAAAAATAATTAGTTTTATTATTTTTCGATATTAATGGTCTTTATCATTGATAAATGTGAAGAAATGATTTGACCATATATCAGCATGAAATCAAGTCAGAATATGTCAATATCTTATCAATATAATCTACATCGTGTCATGTTATTTCATATTGTCACTAAGTTCGAAGGGGGAAAAAAAATCATATTACCACCGTATTAATTCCTCTTTATTTTATATTTAACCCTATTTATTAGTGTCAACTTTGAAGGACCAAGCAAATCATGATTTTAAATATTTATCTATTTTCATCGACATATCTATGTTTTCACAAATTCGACATCGATGTGAGAGGTAAATCAACATTTCTATCATAGTACAAGAAAATCGACAAAATATAAAAAAATATCAACAAAATGTTACTAATATATACATAATATTAATATTAATTATTTTTTTTTAAATTAGAAATAGGATAATATTCATTTGTTAATTTAAATATTTTACGATTTTTAAATTTTTCTTAACTTTTACAGAAATATCCATCGACATCTACATTTTATCTATATTTCGATAGATATTTCTATAAAATCGAGATCTCGATATTTCCATCGACGTTGACATTTAAAACCTTAAAAGAAACTAAAGCATATGAATGAAATGAAAAGAATTTGAATGTGGCAAAATGAAAAATTGAGATGAATGTTAAGAGTACAAAAAAGAACAATATAACTAAAGCTACAAAAAGTTAAACTACCGAATGGATATTTGATTTTAATTATAAGAGAAATAAAAACCAAAGGCAGAGGTGACTCGAGATAATATGAGATATTAGAAAAATTTTTAGTCCCCAAGGTTGAAAGAGTTTTAAGGCGTTATATTAATGGTTGAGTTTTATTTAATGAAATTTGAAAAACAAAAATTAAAGTAAACAAATTTAATCGGTCAGTGAATTCAAATGTGGAGAAATTTATGGCACATTGATTATGAATTTTAATTAAACTACCAAATGGATATTTGATTTTAATTAATGAAATTTTTTTTACTATATGAAAACTATCTTACGAGGTTTCGACAATTTGTCGCTAAAGTTGTGACAAAATGGTAAAAACGTTCTTAAATGGTACGTGATTCACATTATTATTATTTTTTATTATTTTTGGAAGCCCTATGAATTTTGTGTATGTACAACATGGTTCAAGAAATTGGATTTTGTGGATAAATTTGAGCTTTATAAAACATGGTTCATATATGTTAGGAAGAGGGAAGACACAAAATTTATTCTATTTTTGGAAGAATAATCTTTCTAAAATATCATATGTTAGAGGCTCTATTTTTAATGACAAAAAAAATGCAAAACTTCTTTTTCTAATTTAACATAATCCTTAGGTCGTGAAAAAGTTCTTTCGAATTTCTAATTCATTAGGTTGTTTTTAGAATAAATTTGGGGTTTTCTAATTAAAATAAATCAAGAACTTAATTCGAAATTATAATTTTAACAAAAGAATATTTGGCCAAATTTAGAGTTGAGGATTTTTTCGATGCATGAGTATTTTAATCTTAAATTTTTAATTTCATCGGTGTAAACTTTGAAGTTAAAATAAGTGTTGCAATTAATATTCTTCTCGAAATTAAATGGAATAATCTCTTGTTCAAATTTTAAATTAATGATATTAAAAGTTTAACATTAAAATTGACTTAACCCTCTTAGTTTAGATATCTAAATTGATTTTTTTTTTCCTTTGTTGGCAAATATACAAGAGGGTCGGTCTCTATTTTTTTTAGTAACTTCTCAATTTGCTACTCAATCTTTTAAAATTTTCAATTTTACTTTTAACATTAAAAATTCTCAATTAAGTCCTCTAAAACATATATATATAAATTTTGTAACATGCTTTAGACGGATGAACATGCTTTTTGGATATTACTTGATACATGAACCCGACCCACCAATTAAAAAAATTCATTTTCTCCCCGTGCCACATCCATATGGCATGCCATATGTCCAAATTTTTAAGGTAACAACCTAATTAAAAAATTTTAATACATTCAAGATAAAATTGAAAATTTTAAAAAATTAGGACCATCGAGTGGTCTGGTTACCCTTTTTGTTTTTCTTTAAATACAACTTGATTTGTATAATCTCACTGAAGATACTTTTCTATTAGTACACTAAGACAAACTCTAAGTTTATGTACAGCACCGATATGAGTATATCTCAACTCAACTATGATAAATCTTTTCTAAAGATCTTAGTGTCTGAAAATCATATCCATTTTTATTGGGACGTTTTAACCGATTGAACTATGTTTAGATTGATATAATAAAAATTATTTCATGTTAAAACATGTTTGACCTCATATATTATAAGTTATATAATATTGTAAAATATTACTGTAAAAACATGTTTGACTTCATATATTATAAGTTATATAATATTGTAAAATATTACTGTACAAAATTTATAAGATTAAAAATATTTGACCTCATATTTAGATTTAACTAAATATTTAATTGGTAACTATCATTATTCTTATTATTTACAAATGTCTAAATATGCTACTAAACACATTCGAAAAAATATATAAATACAACTTTATTATTCATTGGATCCATGTCGTAGAATTTAAGTTTTCAAATAACCAACCAAACGCACCCTAACCAGTCGAAGGAACTCTATATCCAATATGATTTAGATAAAATAGTATAAATATAATTGCATATGTTGCAAAAACTAGAACATTGGTTACATTAGTGCTCACAATTAATCAATATGCAGGAAATCAGTATATTAAATTAATTATTGAGGATAACATTTGCTGGAATGTCCGTGGGTTGAGGGATCCCAAGACATTCAGAGTTATATGTGACTTTATTCGTCATGAAAACCCTCAGGTTGTTTTTCTTATTGAAACGAAATGTGACTCTTAGCAGATTAATAATTTGAAACATGCTCTTAATTTCAATAGTTGTTTT